GATCCATAATAATTGATATCTTCTTTCTTCAAAAAGATATATCAATTATTATCGTGGTTTCGATTATGAAATTAATGATCCTTTATCCGAATTAGAATAATCAAACAATTGGTTAAAGTCTATTTTGACCTTCCGAGGTCAAATGTCATTCTCCCTTTGAGTTTGACTACGATAATTCGGATACGATTAAAATTCTAAAATTTGAACCCATTAGAGAACGATATGATCACCTCCCGAGGCGATATATTGTTCATAATAACGTGTTCAATTTTGAAATTCAAAATTAAATATTCCCAAAGAAAATTAATACTTTTTCAAAACTATATATACTTAAATATATTTTTCGATCAAACATCAGCCCACTGTAATATATCCAAACGCTAGTATAATCATTTTAGAATGGGTCGGGTGCCTTGATTTTTCTCCTTTCCAGGATTTTCGACGTAATAAATTTTATGTTCTCTGTATGTGAGCTAGATATTCATATAACGTTATGACATAATATTATTACTCTATCACCGCATATATTCTTGCCCGCAATAAATAGTATTTTGATTTCTTGTTTTACTTAGATTAATTGATTCATACATTATATTTACTAATATTGCATAAAAAATAATACGAATAATATGAGATAAATAAGGTATTTGTATGTAAGTAATGAATGTTAGCCATTAACATTATAATTAATATGAGTTGCCTCTTAAACTGTAATATTGTATAGAGGAGGGTCGGACGATGGGCTTTCCTTAAAATAATATATTTATGTTGTTATCTTAAGTATTAGCTTGTAATTGATTGACTGAATTATGCAAACGAATAGAGGATAACGACTCTTTATAGATTATTGAAAATCACCTGTAATAATGATATAATAATGATGATAATGATATATTAAATAATTGATAAAAACTCATGATTAATGTAGATGAAAAAAAAATTATGCATTAAAGTTGGATGTCATGTCTTATTATTTACAATCGCATTCGTGATTGCATTTACATGATAGCACATTAAACTTGTTGATAAATATAATTGGCATAAAATTAATGGAGTAAGCATTAAAACTGATATAACATGTCATAGCATATGACAAATACACCTATAGACATTGATAGACATATTGATATGATACATTAGTATGACATACTGATAGCCAGGTTGTCACAACCCAACCCAACAAAATCCACCGATGAGATAGTTCCAATCGTGTTGGTTTTTGTTAGACGAATCGCAATATCTACTTTAATTTTTTTTTCAGATTGCATCATTCAATTTAAACTTTTAAAATAACATACTATAAAGCTACTAAAAACATTCAAAGTGCTAAACGAAACTTATTCATAAATTTTTTTATTAGTATCAAAATAACATATACAGTTATAGTACGTTGCTATAAATAAAAAGCTACATAATTTAGTAATAAACTAACGATGACTATACAAAAATTATTAGAATAAATACCCATAGACTTAGATTAGAACCTGAACTGCTAATCAACATGCTCCTTCTCAGCATGCCAGAAACATTGATATAAATTTCTAATATTTATTTTATTAAATATTTTTTATAATATTTAAATATAGTATAATAAATCACTATGCTGAGTAAAGTAATAGGAGAATAATAATTATTTGAGAATTCAACTAATCATACTCACTAGTCAAATAAATTAAAATTCCTGTCACATATCAAATATAATAGATTTTTTTTTCCCAAGCAGAATATTAAACATCTTCGTATGGAATAGAACAGGACATTTTACCATTATAATATACCTTAAAAGCACAAAAATATCGTTTTTCTTTCATAATAAATTTCTCCCAAAATTTACTAATTCAAACCATGAGACACATAATTCAATCACATCGATCATATAAACATATGTTTCATCGCATGATGGTAATTAAAACATATTTGAGCCCATGTCAAAATTGTATAGTTTTCTATAATGGTAAGCAACATGAAATTTTACTGAGCAAAAATTCAGAGTTTCAAAATATAATTAAATTACTAGGGATTGTGTAGAATAATATTTTAAAACTTTAATATGACTATAACACCATTTTTTAGAGTCCAGGTTATTTATTATTCAATAAAATGATGCACATTTCAAAATACCCCATATAAAGTTTTAAAAAAATATTCAAAATCACAATCTTTATAACATATAAAAAGTTATGTAGTGAAAATTTTACAAGCGCAAATTTACCTTCATTTTTTTGTAACAAAACTATGAATTTAATAAAAATATGATAAAAAAAACTATGTATTTTGAAAACTAAATAGACATAACATGACATACCTCTATCAAATAACTTTCAAAACTAGGCCAACTGCTAAAAATGACCCAGGTGACTCAAAAACCCTTTTCTCTCTCTCAAAATCATCCTCTTTCTCTCCAACAATCGGCTGCCAAAACGATAAGATGAAAAATTGAGTGGAAAAGGTTATTTTAAATGTAAAAAATGTTACAGTGCATATATGCCACTATTTGAGCGCCACAATGCTAGTTCAAATTCCAAAAACCCTATAGCATAATGTCGGGGAGTCACAATTAAGAACATCATCACCATTCAACAAAACAACTAGGCACCAGAGCACTCGAGATTGTGGCGATTGGGAGGAAAAATTCTAGAGTTTTTCAATATATATTCAAATCTCTTAAACTCACATTAAAATTAACACATGCAAACCTTTTTTCATACACACATATCATTTCAAACATATATAAAAGATTTGAAAATATAAAAGTTCTAATATTTACCTTTTTTAATTAAAATTAGAATATGTTAAACCAAATGCTAAACCCAGCGGCATCACAACAATCCCCTTCTCAAAATAATATCATCCTCCAAATTTCAAAACTCAATTCTCAAATTTCATAAATAAATTGGGATACAACTATCTCATTTTAGATTCCTTTTATTAAGTAGCTTTTCTTTTAATTTTTTCTTTCACTAAACTTTAACTTTTAAAATTTGTTTATTTCTTAACTTTTTGACACCATAGGTTGGAACCCTTTCTAGTTCTTCCATGTAACTCAAATTTATATGTACAGCGATATCTTCAGTAGATATCATATTTTTATAATTAAATATCCATTTCCTCAGAAATGACACATGATACACGTTATGAATCTCATACATATGATCTAGCAACTATAATATATATGCATACTTTTTTATATTTTGAATAACTTTAAATGGTCCAATGTATCTTCGACTCAATTTTCCTTCATTGTCAAATCTTTAAATTCCTTTCACCTGTTTGATCTTCATGTATACAAAACCTTCTACTTAAAATTTTATAGCCAGATACTTAACATCAAAATACTACCTCTATATATCCTATACATCCTTCAATTTCTTTATGGCCAGCTCGTTCTTTTTAGTTGCATCATCAGCTAAAGCTAACACAATCAATATGAGGGTAAGTTTTTGTTGTAAGCAAACTCAATCAAAGGAATATGATCATCTTAATTGACACTAAAATCGAAAATAAAGTCTCAAAAGGTTTTCTAACACCTAAAAAGTTCTCTTAGACTGCTCGTTAGTCTAAGGATGAAATATTGCACTAAAATATAATTTCATATCCAACCATTGTTGAATACCCATCCATAGTCTGGAGGTAAACCTGTCATCTTTGTTAGAGACTATAATCTTCGGGCTTCAATATCCTATGTAATATAATAATCTCTTGTATATATACTTGTATTAATTTATCTATTGAATCAAACAGTTATATCATAATGAAATGAACAGATTTTGCCAAATGATTCACTACAACTCAAACAATATAATGTCTTTAACTTTACCTAGAAAAACTCATAGCAAAATTCATAGTCACTTCTTTTCATTTTCACTTAAGAATGAGTAACGGATGCAGAAAATTTCCCGATCACTCATGTTTTTCTTTCACTAATGATGGGTGCGTGCGGGTGAGTTTGCACGAACTGTGTTCAATGCATGAAGTGGGTTTAAGCTCCGGGTTGAAATATGATTTAATTTTCTTTGATATATAATACTCCAAAATATACAAGTGGATGTGTCAATCAAGTAATAAAGTAATTGAGCGAGTGTCAATCCTACGAGGAAGTGATGAGCTAACTTGCAAGTAAACTAATATTGAATACTACAACTACAATATTTATCTTATGAATCGAAGGTAAGGGTTGAGTTTCTATCACTACTGTTGTGGATTACAAAAGAAAAGATAAGATTCAAGATAATAACATATTTTGAGCTAATGAATATAAATTATCAAGGTTGTCCTAACGAGACTCCATATTATTGATGTGGATTAGAGTATCCCTATATATATGTCAAGCTTGTACGAATGTAAACGGAGATTTATGACCATCCTATAGTAATTGTATCTCCTTAGACCCTAAAAAATTAAACATCTAATATCTAGATATACAAGTATTTTATTCTAATACTTATATTTATTCCAATATTCCTCCACCAAGATAATATATTACATTTGTTTTTAACTAACATATGACCACTATATGCATTAAATTAAGTTTGACAGATATCGAAAACATCAATTTCTCATTCGAAGCACTAGAATCTATATTAGTACTAACATTGGATTCACATCATTAACCCGAAATTAAGAAATTGGCCAGATATGATGTTTAAAGAAAGTAAACCATATTTCATTACTCACAGAAAGGATAAAATGCAAGAGTAAAAATCATTTCAGATGTTACCCGGATAGTACAAATGCACTCTCAACACTTCTTTCTCCTCCAAATGTCTGATTACTTACAGGAGGCATGCTAACAATTCTCAAATGTAGTATCTTACTCTCCTCTTGCCTCACTTAGATTTTACTCTAAGGGGACACCGCAGTCTAGAAAGAAAAAAATGACAAAATTGTTGAACTAACAAAAAATCTCCAGTAAAATGGGCAAAAACTATTCATACTTATACCTAAATGGACTATGGCACCATGATGCTTAACATGGTGGTTATATGCTCCAAAGAAGTAAGGGGCTCTTTGGTAGAATTTAGGATTTCATTTAAGTAGGATTTCGTAAATCCTCCAAATTCCGGATTTACGAAATCCTGAGGAGTTAAATCCTGAAAACTGTTTAGTAACATTCATGATAAATCCAGTTAAATCCTTTGTGACTGTTTGGTTGTTCATTTTAGGATTTAAGGCGGTTAAAAGTTGACATACTTTATTAGGATAATTAAAGCACGACAATAAAATTTTAAATAAAATATAACAAAACTTTATTAATACTAATTAATTATTTAATTATTATTTATAATATTTTCGTCCACGGAGGATTTCGTTTACCGTGAGATTTGGATTTGCATTTTAGGCCGTTTGGCTGGATTTTGCCCAAATCCGACCTTAAATCTGCCTAAATCCGCATACCAAACAGCCCCTAAAGGTTCAACAGGTTTGAAGGCCTGAAAAGTTTTGTGCCAGCATTGGATTTTCAAGGTAAAAAGAATTTGAGATATCTTGCAACTAAAATTTATTTATTTTTCAAAAAAGGTTACATCAAAAGGTTTAAATTTTCTAATATGATAGTTTATGCCAGCATTGGAGGAGCATTGGTCGCACGCTCGTCGACGCCGCGGGGGCATGTGCGTGACCTCCATTACCAGGAACCCACAGCACCGTCCACAGCTGAAAGCTCCATCTCAAAATCTCGTCACCTTCTCTTCCATCTCCGAAGTCTCTTTCTTCTGATAAACGAGATCGCCGTCTTACCCTTTCGGTGTCGCGTTAGATCTTCGCCCGCATTATTCTCTCTCGCATCCTGATTGACTGTCTGTGCTCCGTCGAAATGGTATGCTTTTTTCTCTCTCTTTCTCTTTTTTTTTTCCGGGTTTATTTTGGAGTTGGATCTGTGATTTGGTTTCGAGAATTAGTGTTACAACCCCATTTGATTGTGTTTAATGTGCTACTCTGAATACCTGTATTTGATGTTGCCATTGATGCTCACTGCATAAGGATGATTGGTGTTGCGGAGTAGGTGATATTATGTTATGTAGAGATCAATTTTGGCAAACGTGGTTGCATCAAACGATTCGGTTGCTTTGTAATCTATGGAATGGTAGCTATTGTATGGACTGATGCTGATTAGATTGATGGATGTTTTTTATTGAATCAAATGCTCAATTAGTGAGGAGGGGGTTTTAAGCCTTTGGTGGCATAAAGGCCCTCTAATGGAATGCCTTGTACACCCGTATTTTCTTGGGTCATATTAATCAAGTCGCAATGAGACATGAACTAAATTCAATAAGCTGTTGATTGTGAACCGACTTAAACCTTTTGCAATTCAGAATTCGCCAAAGTTGAAGTTGCCTAGAATTGAATCTCAAACAAGTCACCTAAGTGTTTGCTCTAACTTGATCGTCAGTTCTAAGCCATTCAGCTTGTTGAAGGGATTCAATAAGTATCCATTAATCGCCCAAATATTCATAGCTAATTAGAGGTTCTTGTTTGAAGAACTCGTCGCTAGTTACCTTGAACAATTATAGGGGACTTAATTTGAACCTGAATGAACTGCAAAAAATTTGAATTTGGACAATTGAAAAAGGAGTAAGCATGAAACTTGAATTCAAACAAACAGCGCAGAACAAAACTCAATTATTAATATCAAGAAATTGGACTCCAAGATTACCAAATGTATGATTGAAAATAAAATATCAAGATCAAGTGATAGCTTCTAGCAATCAAGTGCATATTAACAAACAAATGTGAGATTTGTTGATGCGGTGCACTATAGCCTTATCGTGAGATGGGTAACTTTTTTTTTATAATTATATTTGGTAGTCAGATTATTCGCCTAATGTTCTGAAGATCCGACGCTAACACGTGCCACTCACGTGTTCCGCCTGACGGTAATAAATAAGAGGGACCCTAATCCCGCCAATCTCGATCGTTGAAATCATCTGACTAATTAACGGCTCGATTCTCCGCCACCTCATCAATCCGTGGCTACCTGTTGGCGTCCAACCACAATCCTTTTGGTCCTCCTTACATAAAGAACCGAAGGACCCTTCGCCTTCATCTTTCACCCCCTTTCACAAACCTAACGATTCCCTTACCCTCGATTTCTAATGGCGCCCAAGGCCGAGAAGAAGCCCGCGGAGAAGAAGCCGGCCGCCGAGAAGCCGGTAGAGGAGAAGGAGAAGAAGTCGGAAGCCGAGAAGGCTCCGGCTGGAAAGAAGCCGAAGGCTGAGAAGCGCCTACCGTCTAAGGAGTCTGCCGCTGGCGACAAGAAGAAGAAGAAGAAGAACAAGAAGGGAAGTGAGACCTACAAGATCTACATCTTTAAAGTCTTGAAGCAGGTTCATCCTGACATCGGAATCTCTAGCAAGGCGATGAGCATCATGAATTCGTTCATTAATGATATTTTCGAGAAGCTCGCCCAGGAGTCGTCTCGGCTTGCGCGTTATAACAAGAAGCCGACGATCACGTCCAGGGAGATCCAGACTTCTGTTCGCCTTGTGCTTCCTGGTGAGCTTGCTAAGCATGCTGTTTCGGAGGGCACGAAGGCGGTTACCAAGTTTACCAGCTCTTAAGAGATCTGCGCTTTTGTGATTATTGGTGCTTGATTCTGAGAAGCTATTTTATATATCTTGTTCTAGGGATCGTTTTCTGCTTTTGTTTCTTTGGATTGCAAGAATCATGATTTATTATGGCTTTTAATGTAAGATATTCTTATCTGCGATCTTTTATATGAATTAACTGTTTTTCAATATTTTTCTTATCGCCACTTGGCATTTTTGTTCAATCTTACCTTAGTTGGTGTTCCATTAAATTTAATTGAAGTACTGTCAGCCGTTGCGTTACAGCCAAAATCGCTTCTTATACTTTAAAACTTAAAAAAAAGAAAAAAAAAAAAGAATCTTCCAAATTATTTTACGGCTTCCTCATTGCTCTCTTTATTGAATATTTTGTTATCCCTGTACACTACAATCTACATTCTTAATAAAACTTCGAAAACACCACAATGCCTTATAATTTGTAGCTTTTGTTGAGTGTTTACAATATCGTTCCGTTTTGTCTCTGACTTTAGTGAATGCTGTATTTTAAGAACAGAAACTTATGGTTTGGAACAGCTTGTGCCTGTTCTTAATTCTGAATTAAATTGCCGCTGAAGAATTATATTCCATAACTATTTTACGGCGGCAGCTTTTGTTCCCCTCCTATGAATCGTTTAAGGCCAGTACTTGCTTTGTTACTCATTTAGTTGAAGTTTTGTTTGATGGATTAATTGAAGTTGCTTCAAGAAATTTGTATGCGTGGGTTAATGCTTTAGATGATTGCTCCATCAGAATTGTTTAGATATTTTTGGAGAGTATTTGAGGAGGCTATTTAAGGTTAACTATAGGATGATTTTAGATTTTGCTTAAATTTGTTGGAATTAGTTTTGTTTAGATTGCATAGGCTTTAGTTGATTGCCAGGGATTTTGGAGTCTGATATTTCTCACCAATTAAAGATTTGATTGTATCTTGTGTGTGTGTTTTAAAAAATCTGTCAAAAAAAATGCGTTTTTGTGTTGTTCTTTTTCTGATATTTCTTGTATCATTTTTTGGTTTTGCTGAAATTGCATCTATTTCCTATCAAATTGATAAATGAGTTGTTAGGGGTTGAATATAGGTCTTTCTTGTTAATTTTTGCTACATTTGTTCCCGTTGTTTTATTGATTTTGCTGTTGGAAGCTTAGATTTGCTATTTTTTGTTGTTTCTTTTGCTGTTTGGAGCTTAGATTTGGGCATTTGTAGTAGGAAGAATTGTAGAATTGTTGGAAGGGGAGATTGGACATTTGAAATTTAATTTTATAGAAAAGATTTTAAATTTCAAAAAATAAATTTAAGCTATTCATGAGATGATTGATAAAAGGTTTGCCATCATAGAGATGATGATTAGAAAGTTGCTTAAATTCCAAACCAAAATAGTTGCTGGTCTCTAAGGGAGTGGAGGAAACTCTAATTTGATAAGGAGATAATAAGATTAGGAGGTGAAAATGTTGGGGGAAGAAGATGGGATGCTATCTTTTGCGTCAATTCCAAGAAGGGGAAATAATGAATGATGGTAATTTTGATGGAGCTCTAGAGTTTGGAAGGAAAAAAAAGTGGGGAGAAGATGGTACCAAATGTGGCTCAACCACATCTATAGTAATATTAAGGGATGTTCCAATTAGTTTAGGGCATACCTCTGTCGTAAAAAAAGGAGTGCTATTATTTTGAAGGAAAGTTTTACATATCAGTGTTTGTACGAACTATTCTCTCTAACTCTCGATTGATGAGATCGAGAGATTAATTAGAGAGAGATGGAGTTAGGGATCATTTGAACTAGCGATAGTCTAGTTTTTAGTTCATTGGTATTATTTTAGTGATTTAGCAATAGTTTCCTTCATTTCATCTTGAGGATAGTATGACTTTTTCGGTGGGGAGTATTGATAAATTAGTAGTGGAGCTGGTGGGTCCCATTAAGTGGGTAGCATGTAAGAAGAGAGGAAATTGTTTAGGAAAATTTTAATTACAATTGAAAAAGAATTAATTTGGCGAAAAAAAATCTAATTTGATTTTTAAATTTGAGAGGGGGTTATTTAGAGAAAGTCTAAGGGAGTTAATATTCATTATGTAAGGAGGAATCAAGAGGGAATTATTTAAGAAATTTTTTAATTACAATTGGAAAAGAATTAATTTGGGAAACATTTAATTTAATCATCAAATTTGAGAGGGACTTATTTAGGGAACATCTAATAGAGTTAATATTCATTATGTTAGGAGGAATCAATAGGGAATTTTTTAGAAAAAAAGTTGTTTTAATTGGAAGAGAATTAATTTGAGAAAGAGATTTAATGTAAATGTAAATTTGAGAGAGAATTATTTAGGAAAATGAGATTGATTTAGGAGGGAATTAGAGGAGTCATTTTAAGATTAACAATATGGTCATTTCAAATTATGCTCGAATTTGGTAGAATTAGTTTTGCTTAGTAGGTTGAGTGGGCTCTAGCTAATGGCTAAAAATTTGGGAAAAACTATTTTGTGTTGACACCGAACAAATGTCGGTACCGCTATATATCGGATGACGCTGCACATTTTGATTGGCCTTCGCACTGTCTAGTGTCTGCATAGAATAATTCCTCTATGGGAGGTGATTGTGGCCCAAATAAGATTGAAACACAAATATTGTCAAAGATGATTGTGGTACAAACAATGGTGCAAAGTATATCCCATGGCAATGGTTAAAGCTAAAATGTAACTAAAATAAACTAAAAAAAATAAAAAAATGACCCCAAATAATAAAAATCAACTTCTTTCATATACATTATTTTCCTTGATAAATAGAGCAGAAAGAAAACCTGAGAATGGCTAATCCAACCAACAAGTAAAAGAAATTTCATTAAAACTCATAAACCTTATAGAAATACAGAGTCATTTCACTACAATCAAAGTGAGACAGCGTCTCTTCTTAAGATGATCAACTTGCAGAAATTCTACATAAGCCAGTTGACAAACAATTAAAGACAAGAAGAAAATCAGGTGACTCTCTTCCTTGTTCTTCTGAATACTCATCCAGGCTTGCAATTTAAACAGAGCTAATGCTTTGTGCTGCTTACAACATCTCCTGGGAACGCCTCACAATGAGCCGAACTTTCTTCTTGAATTCATCCCTCCTATCTCTCCAATCTTTCTGCAAAGAAAAAAAAAAAAAGAAGTTAAGTAACTTGGATGTTAATGGAGAGAGCAAGAGCTTTGTAGTTAAAACAGATCATGAGAAGAACGAAAAGCTAGATTGATGTACAGGGAAGAATAACCCAAATCAACGAAGAATTATTGTTGTTCACAACGATAGTCAGAAATCTGAGAGGCAAGTCTTCTACAACAAGAAGGCAAAATCTAGAAGAACCTTTACTAACGGAAACATGGAAGATGCCTTTCTACAGTATCATAAACTCTTTTAGTCCTATTTGAGACTGTTAAGATGGACATTAGTACTTCTAACTTAGTGGATTTGGATCATGTGGCAGGTTTAAGCAACTTATTTGTTATTTGGAAAAATAAAAAAAGAGCTAGAAGTGAGATTTTAGAGTTAAAGCAGAGTAATTAAATGAAGAGGTGGCTTAAAACTACTATTTGATTAAAGAATGTCATAGAGACTAAAAGTTAAATTTTATAAATCTATAATTTGTCAATTATGGAATAAGGCTTTGAGAGTTAAGTTGAAAAGAAATTATTGATAGTCAAATTTGGCTTACTAGAAATTAAAATGGTAGATGAATATGTGGAAAAACAAAAAAATGATAGATTCAGACAGGATTAAATTTGAGAATGGTGGGTATATACTTCTCAAGATATTTGTCTCAAGATATTTGAATCAGATTCATGTTTGATTTGAAACTGAGATACTAATTAATTATTCCCTTTTGAATCAAATAAATCCATGTCTAAAAGAGGCTGATGGTAAGTTTTTTTTTTCTAAGTTGACTGTTTGCTCCTCTGCCAGAGATATTGCAGAAATATCTGCAATCGGGTAAATAGCTCCACGAACTAATGGATCAGATCGAATTCAAAAATGAAAAGATTGGCATAATTTGTACAAGTTATTTGTTTCATCACAATTTTATAGGAAATTGTTATGCATGAAGATGTTAGACACTTGGGACATGACTAGTGAAATGGTTTCCCCCACAAAAAGCAATTTTTTTACCGATGCACCAAAGTAAAGATTTTTTGTTGAGAAGGAAAAAATATTGAGACGTCCATCATATAAAATAATAATTATTGACACGGATCTTTTCTACATCAAAGGGAAATATTTTGTTGCAATAAAATTAGAAATAAAGTGAATCATTCAAGAATCAAATCAATTTATTTTATAAAAGGAAGATATCAATAAATGTCTATAAAATTATTTCACTAGATTCAACCAATTGTCTAAATCTTAAGATATTAAGGAGTAATAGAATCCACAACAACAACAATATCAAGCCTTTGTACCACTATGTGGGATCGGCTATATGAATCATTTTTCTCCATCGTGTCTTGTTAAAAGTCAAATTCTCATTTAAATCTAATAAAGAAAGATCATTTCTAATATTTTATAACCAAGTTTTTTTGGGTCTACCTCTACCCTTAACATAAGTCAAATCCAATACCTTTATTTTCCTAATCGGGTAATCGGAAGGCTGCCGTTTTATGTGACCAAAATGAGTAATAGGAATCCGTGATATCAAAAAATTTCATATGAGATTCTTACTAGTATTGAATGAGTTCATCACCAAAGCCAAATTTATGTGATTTGGGTTAGTAGAATGATAGGTAATAAAATGTACCAATAAGTTGGATAATAAAATTAATGTCATATGATTAGAATGAAGTATTGGTAATAATTTAAGTTGCTTAAAAAGATAATAAAATAGATTTAACACCTCATATACTACTCATCAATCACAAATAATCGGGATAAGGCATACATGATAAGTAGTAATGTTGAAAAATTAGGGTGGGGGTTAAGTAATAACAACAACAACATCAAGCCTTTAACCCACTACGTGGGGTTGGCTACATAAATCCTTTTTCTCCATTGTGTCCTATTAAAAGTCAAATTCTCGTTTAAATCTAATAAAGAAAGGTCATCCCTAATATTTTCTAACCAAGTCTTTTTAGGCTTGACTCTACCTTTCTTAACATAATTCAAATCTAATACCTCTACTCCCTAACCGGGTCATCGGAAGGCCGCCGTTTTATGTGACCAAACCATCTAAGGCGACTCTCTCTAATCTTATCTTCTACTGGAGCTACTCCAACCTTTTTCACGTATATGCTCATTTCGTATCCTATCTCTTAAGGGTAAACCACTCATCCACCTGAGCATCCTCATCTTGCAACACTTAAACTAGTATTTTGCTTCTCTTTTAATGATCAACATTCGGCACCATAAAGCATTGCAGGCCTCACTACCATCTTATAGAATTCCCTTAAGTTTGAGGGGTACATTTCTATCACATAACAAGTCCGATGCATTCCTCCACTTCAATCATCCAACTGAATTCTGCTGATAATACTCCATCTATTTCACCGTCACTCTAAACAATAGATCCAAGATATCTAAAATGTGTACTCTTATTAATGACTTGATCGCCCAAAGTCACAATCCCATCACTAGGTCTATTACTACTAAAATTATACTCCATATATTCCGTTTTAGATCTACTCAAGCGAAAACCTTTAGACTCTAAGGTTGACATCCATAATTAAGTTTACCTTCAACTCCTCTCTAGTCTTATCAACAAGAAGAATATCATCAGCAAAAAAGCATACGCCAAGGTACATCCTCTTGCAAATGTCTAGCGAGAACATCCATGACTTAAGCAAATAGATATGGGCTTAAGGCTGATCCTTGATGTAGCCCAACCGAAATAGGGAAATACTTGGTCAATCCACCTTGTGTTTGAACACAAGTAATAGCTCCTGCATACATATCTTTAATGATTTGAATATAAGCATTATTGACTCCTTTCTTTTCAAGAACTCTCCAAAGCACTTCTCTTGAAACTTTATCATATGCTTTTTCTAAATCAATAAATATCATATGTAGATCCTCCTTATTTTCTCTATATTTCTCCATCAAACCTCTTAATAAATGTATGACTTCCATAGCCTAAAATAAAAATAGCTCCTCCATTGTTCTCGACAGCATACAAAAATGTCACAAAAGAATGTGGAATTTTGCAGCACTTAATAATGCTCACCATCTTCCTAGATTCTATCTCGTGAATGGGATAAGAAAAAACCCCAACAGTAAAACCCAATCAAGACTATTAACTAGAATACAGGTTTTTGGCGGTGAATGAATTATTGCAACTGTTTTGCAGCATTTTTTAACTAAAAATGCAAAGACAGAGAAAACGAAAGATACTTTGAGAAGATCAAATAAATGTTTCCAGCAAAGTTCAAGTAGGAATCGTCAAAGGAGAACTATTAGCACACCTTTAGTAAAGCATTTATTATAAAAAAAATATTACTTGAATTGACATTTACGCAATATCTATTTTTTGTAAGTATCATTGCATGCAATTTGGAAAAAATAGTCATGTGCATTTTGGAGTTTAGATCAGAACAGGCTTCATACTGCCATTCCGAAGCCAGTCAATACTGCCTTTAACGATTATTGGCTGCAAATCCTTGAGCCAGCGATCAAACTCTCACAAGCCAATATGTTTCATCTCCACCCACCAACACAGCCTATTCATTGGAACTTTCAGTTTCTTTCCACCAACAAATTCTTCCTTGGGTAACCCCTTGCGGGTATGTTCCAGTTTATCAGAGAACATTCTGAAATCACTCGTTTATTTTTCTCTAGAAAAAGAGAAAAAAATTTAGTCCTTCTAAAGGCGTTAACTTTCATACATTAAAACTTAATCCAGAAGACATAAGATCTAAAGTTTTAACATCTATGTTTTTCTAGGCAAAAGTATGTTCTGAAGCAGCGATGTAATATCCCATATTTCAGACAATCAGAGGCTTTCCTAAGTATCTAATGGAGAAGAAATTGTTCATTGCAAATTAGAGCTTTATAAGATCTAACAATTTATTAGGACTTCAACGTGCATAAATTTGTGGGTTATTCTGCATTCTTAGTTCAAAAGTTCCACAAATTTCAGTGCAACTACTACAAAAGAAATCGACTGTAATTAAACCTACATGATAAATTCCAAAAAAATATCATAAAGACACCAAGTGCTTGGAATGAACCAAAAAGGGCATAACCTAGGGTAAGTTTTCTACCAATCAAAGGAAGGTGATGTTACCAATCAAAATGCTAACAAAAATAGAAAGGTTCTTTGCTGGAACTATCCATAAACAACAACAACATCAAGCCTTTATCCATCCATTTTAACCATCCATAAAAATGCTAGCACGTCTTCACTACATGAACAACAAAACAAACTTCCAAGATAGCTAATTTCTAGAATGATTAGCTAATTTCTAGAATGATACTCGCCAAAATGGTTTGCTGGAAGCATATTTTAGATGAACAAAACAGAAATCCAAGACAATCTGAACGATGAAATTTTTTTAACCTATTCCATAAACCCAACCAGTTTACAGAAAAATCTGGTATTAACTCCACCTTCGCTAACAAGTAGACCATATAGTCCTGATGGTACATTATTTTGTAAGCAAGCAATCACACAACCACAGAACCACTCGATAGTATGCCATATGTGTTTCTAATAGCTACAAATGGGGTCGACTGTGAAAGTACTCATGATTTATATCAAAATAAGAAAAATATGAACACAAGTTGTGAAACTTTTGGCAAATCTTTATTTGAAGATTTCAAGGCTTAGCCACAGCAGAAAAACACACAAAAAAATGACAAATAGTTCAAACAATCACTAAGAAGTTTTAAAATAGAGCAGAAGATGTAAAGGTAATGGCTTATATTGTAAATAATTTCTGCACTCACTGCAGCTTCCACATTTGCAGGGGATTCGTCATTGGGGCTTGAAAGCATCGAAATAATACTCAGAACTATGCTCTCAACCTGTACACAGCACCTGGTTTAATTAGTAATAATTAATATGTGTTTTTCAATGTGAAAAAGTAAGCAGTTAACCACAAACAACTTGAAAAATCGTTAATATAATACATGACAAATTTGCAATAAGTGTTGTGGAAGAACTCTTAGGATATCTGAATCCTGATTGACAAGAAAATATCATGCAACTCAAAAATCAAAGCCCTTCCGCATCTCTCCCATCCACCAGAACAACCACATCCCTGTGCGGGGAACCCTCCTCCCAGCCTCCCACTTTTCTTGCTAGGCAAACTCTTGCAGCAAGCTAAAAAGGAAAATGTGAGGCCTAAACACAAGAAAAATTTCATCATGACCGCAATCTCTAAACACACCTACCATGAAGTTAAAAGTTGAATAAAACTACCACATAATATTAGCCCCTTCCATTTGATGAAGTATTCTGCTCAATTTTTGGACGAATCTAAGAAACTAGATACATCTTGGTTCTTCTCAGCGTCTTATATTCCCAATCAGCAACTAAGACTAAATCCATCCCACAAGACATACTAACTATTAAGGTGAATAAATGCTAAGTGATGGGAACATCAGATCGTGGAAGTTTTATCAGAGACATGGCCGTCGATCTATGGCCACGATTGAGTCATTGTATTTTTTATTTCTTTTTTATATTTTCCTATTTATGATGTCATATTGTATTTGCTTTCCCGTTATATCCTTTTGTTAAGGGAGGTAGTTCGTAAGCCCTAGGGTCATTGTCGTCTTTTATGTTTGAGTCATTGTAAGAGGCAATATATAGTCCCCTTGTTCTTCTTTGCAAGTTAATGAATGATTAATCGAAAACTTTGTTTCTCTTATTTGAATTCTCTTGAGAGCTTGAGAGTTTGAGAGTTTAGAGTGAAATCTCTAGGAGAGGGAAGCTTGTGCAATACCCACCAACCTAAACGAGTCGGGTTCGTGGTTCTATCTTCTATCTCCTTACCTTTTTTTTCCCCTCTACCAACACCGGCCATACCATCTCTCCCTCCGCCGGCATCCTCCTCCCTTCCCCTTCCTTTTTCGCCCCACGGCCCAAGCTTCCCAAGCAAGGCGTCGTTGCCCCCTTGCCTCACCGCCTCTCCGTCTCTCCCTTATCCACCGGCCACCACCACCACTCCACGCCGCCGGCTCACTTCCTCCCACCAAGCCGCTGCCCCACCCTATGCCCTTTCCTAAATTAGGTTGTTTTAATTTTGGAAACTATTTGATTTCAAAATTCAAAAGAATTTGAAAATAAAAAAACTGACCTAAATGAGATCATCTCAATTTAGAGAGCCCTCTTAACTTCCCCTCTCCCTCTCTCTTGTTTCATGTGAAGACCACCTCTTTCTTAAGAGATCTTGGGGCCTTGAAGGGCGTCGCCGCTACTACTACTACACACAACAAACCAATGCATGGCCAATCCGGATCTTCATTACAGAATTGCCTACGACGAACACGGCTTCGTGCATATCCTCCATTCAACCTTCTTCGACGTCAACCTGAGGATCGATCATACGGTTGAGGACTACATAGAGCGCATCTTGGACACCTTGGTCGAGGCTATTGAAGAGCAACTTGAGATCGTCGAGTGGAGGATTACAACCGATCCTTGACGAAGGTTTTCTAATCTTCCTCTTATCGTATTTCTTAAAATCTAATCCTTTCTTTGTGATTTGATTGTAGTCATGAAGGTCGCGTTTGCCTGATTCTGCTAAGCTTAGTAAACATAGGGATTTGAGTGCATTCATTTGTTTCCTAATCTTATTGTTAGACTAGAGATTTTCGTTGAAAGCTAATACTTTGCATGATATTATTTTTCCTATGATATTTTGATGATTCAAATCTCTTAATATGCAACTTAGTCTAAACGAAAGTGACCACTCTTATGTTTTGATTCATCGTTCTATTTGCTACTAGTTCTATTTGTTATTTCTCTAATCAATAAGTTGTGCAAGCTCTTAACAAAACCATTGCAAGCATTGTAGTCCTACATCACTAAGTCCTCAAAATTGGCAAAGTGAACATCTTGTGTCTTACATGAACTCATTTGCCACCTGAAAATCCACATCTCATTTAAATCGCAGGCCAAAAGCATGCTGAACATGTTCATCAAAATAAACTTCTTATTGAGATTTGTATTTGAAAGGCCAATGATCTTCTCATTTTGGAAGGATAAAACTACTAAATGAAAGAAATATATGGAAATATAACTACTAAATGAAATAAATATATGAAAATATAAAAGAATGAGGCCTAAAGGGTTATTTCAATTGCTTCCACGGATCATGTTGTCTTCCAAAATGCACTAAAGGTGGCAACAATGGTCTCCCACGAAAAGGAAAAATACCTCCAAGTTAAAGAAATAATTAAAAAATTGCACTGCACCGATGCTGCTTATTAATGAATGCATGAGCGCAAAGAATGAAACACGAAGCTAAAAACTTTTCATTCTGTATCACAAGAAAATTAAACTCTATTACAAATCTCAAATTCTGCAATAGACTAGAATGCAAATTGATGAGCCAGGGTGATGTCGTGTCAAATGTTTGCCCATATCATGCTGTCTTTCCAAATAAGCTAAAGAAGGTGAGAAAAAAGGTCTCACAATAAGGAAAAAATCTCTCCATAATAAAGAGAGAAAATTAAAAGATCGCATTGCACCAACACTACATATTCCTGAATGCTTGAGCTCAGGAGGAAAAAAAAAAAAGAAATGACAAGTTAAAAAACTTTCCATTTGACAAAGATAATTTTCTCTCTTTTAAATTGCTTCTAATTAGCCAAGGCTGAAGATAATTTCAAAATAAGGATTACAATTGAATTGCATCAAATATATAATGCAGAAAATCAAAGATATCTTTGTGATGGCGAGACTAGTCTGCATGTGATGTTTTATGTTTTTTTTTACAGTGGGTTTATCAATTATGCCCATATCAACTTTTTTATTTTTTTATTTTTATGCCCATATCAACTTGATGAATATCAATTGCACAATTTATCGAAAGCATATTTTTCCCAACAAAACATGAATTAATCTAAACCTCAAATTCTACAAAAATAAAAAAATTCTAATTAGTGTCACCATGGCATAAAAATTTGATTTATGACAAGTATTTAATTTTTGGATTCGTTAATTTATTGTTCAGTTGCTTTGATTGGTTATGCAATTCTTTGTGTCCACCAACTCTTTAATTTATGACTTACAGGCTAATGCGATCCTTTTGTCTTGTTAATTAGTTTACTTCGGTTGCAAGAAAACATTTTTGTTTGACCTTTATTATCCTTCTCCAACAGGTGGGCCTTGCCTTCTATTTCACAATTTGTAGGTGTTCTGATACTCTCGTAGATGAATTGTAATGTTGGTCTCCAATGGTTACACTTGGGTTGGATTCATGTTCTTGGATTTTCCCTTTTTTCTAATAACAAAGGTATGTGAATTTCACGAGTTTCTTTGGATCAATGGATGGATAATCTAAGGCTCTTAGAAATGAAAAACAACATCAACAACAATATCAAGTCTTTATCCGACTACGTGGGGTTTGAGAAATGAAAAAAAAAAATTTGTTTCAAATAATTTTAGGGGCCACATTCCTTCAACTTACGTGAGTCAACTTCTGAATCAAGTGAGTGATTATAAGATTTTGAGGAGTTCATCTCCCTATACAAACATGCGTGTTACTTTTTTTGCTTTTGGTGACTTCTGTCCTACTTTGATTGCTCAAAACTTTGTTATTAAAATAATTGTGTTTATTTTTACTCAATAATTGATACAATCTGATTTGCAATGAATGAATTGATTTCAACTCATGGCGTGGCTTTCTTAGTTCTAAACTTGTTATTTCTAGCAGAATGGCATTGCATTTTCATTTGAATAGATTTGTTTTATATTTTATTATTTTCATCAAAAGTAGTAAATAAATGTTACTAAAAGTTCGGGACTAGTGAATTTTGCATGTATTGCATGATGTTTTATATCTCATAATAGATCTACATTAAAATAATATGATCTTAGTGATGAGGACATCAGCTAGAGATTTCAACATGTGTATCATCGGAGGAATCGTAGATCGACGGCTATGATTCGGAGCCTTTGCTTTTGATGTATTCATGTATTGCTTATTATTTTTGCAATTTAATTTTTCCTATTTTACCCCTATGGATAGTGAGTTCTTGTTGTAGCCCCGAGGGCATTTGAGTCTTTCTTTTTCTTTTATTATTTAGACCTATATATAGAGGTCTTTTGCATTGTATGAGGTTAATGATGAATTAATAAAATTTTCAGATTTTGAGTTCTTGTTTATGAGCTCTTGAGATGAGAGGTGAAGTCTAGGAGAGGCTCAAACGAAGTACCTAACAGCTCTTTCGGGTGAGCTCTTGCTTTTCTCTATTTTTTTTCTTATCTTTTCCTTCCTCTTATATCTGCCATCACCCATAACCCTTCCTCCTTGCAGCCGGCCAAAGCCCTCCCTAGCCTTTCCCATTCCCCCCATAACCCGCCGGCCCCATCCCCATCATCCCAAGCCGCCGACAACCCCAACCGCCCCTACAGCCGCCGGTTTCCATCCCTTCAACAGCCGGCATTCCCCCCGACAACCCTCCTAGTCGCCGGCCACCCTCACCATTAAGTTGAATTTTCAAATTCAATAGGCTCCTAATTACTTTCCTAAAATATTCCAAAGACAATTAGGAAAGAGTCTTTATTTGAATTCAATTAATTTAATTTCCAAAAAAAAAAAAATTCAATTAATTTTAAATTTGAAATACTTTCCTTATTGTTAGAACCCAATTGGTAAGCCTTCAAATTAAATCAAATCTGAAATATAATTTCAGATTTGATCCCAATCATTATTTAAGTCTTTGGGCCCACATACATTGAACCTAGACTCTTATTTTCAACCCCAAACCCCATGTGGCCGGCCAACCCTCTCTCTCCTTTCTCTCTCCAATTAAATCTCCAAGCTCAAATTAAATCCCCATAATCCCATCTAACCGCAGCCCCTCCTCCCCTTGCCTAATTGGAGTGATTTTGAATTTCAAAATCTATTCTTTCCCCATCCTAGAAAAATCTGAAATTAATTTCAGATTTTCCTAAGCCACCTTTTCTCTTCCCTCTCCCAACCTCCTTGAACCCCACCTTAACCTAGACGAAATCCTCCCATTGCCTCAAACTCTCATAACTTCTCTCCTCCTCCAAATCAAATCCTCTCAAGGATCAAGTCCGACAAGCCAACGTCGCCTCCATGAATGGCCGATCCTAAAGTCAACCACTAATTTGCATACAACTCTCAAGGACAAATCGACATCCTTCAATCGCCCTTCTTTGACCCTGACTAGGAATTCAAAGATTATGTTGAAAGCTACGTATATCGCATACTCTATCATCTCGTTGAGACGATCGACGAACAACGACCAACCAGACAGTGGCAAATCATCGGACGTCCACCAAGTTCCCCTCCCGCAACTACTTATCTAGCGAACAATACCTTAAGCGTCGCTTGTCTTGTTGTGGCATCACTAGGATTACTTTTAATCTTTCTCTGCTAAACACCACTTTCAAGAGCGAGAGTGAGGGAACTCAAGGTGAACATTTCTAATTGTTAAACCGTGGATTTTTGTTATTCATTACCGTTAGTTTTACTTATTTATTTTGTTGTTACTTGCAAGTATCCTTTTAATCCCGTTTGTAACCATATGCTATTACATAACTTCTAATTGAAAATTAAGGAATGTAACTTGATTAAACATAAGGTTTACAATTGGCAAATTTTTTTTCCAAATTATTATTAATTTCCAAAGCAATTATTGTTTTCATACATGTTTCACATCACTTAGTCTAATTTATAATGTATTTGATTTGAATTTATTTCATGAACTATCAACCAACATATTAATTCTTCCATTTCCACCTCCTTCGGGATTCACAAACAACATATCATTTCTAAAATTTTAGAAAGCAAAACTAATCTAATGACACAAGTTATGATAAAAAAAATTATATCCACTACTAGTGCCAGACATCTAAGATATTTGGTGCAACGACAAGATAAGTTTGCATGTGATGTCTTATGAATTTCTTTTCGAGAAGTATATCATTTATGCCTATATCAACTTGATAAATATCAATAGAACAATTCATTAAAAACATATTTTTCCAAAGAGGGCATGAATTAATCAAAATTTCAAGTCTACAAACATAGAAAATTCTAATTAGTGCTACATGTCATCATAGATAAATAAATGCAAAAGCCTATGAAGCTCTCAACCTAACAACATAAAAGCATATGCAAGAACACAAAAAGGTTCAAGAAACTATTGCAATTTCCAAGAAGCATATTATAGCCATAACCATAAAAAAAACTAAGATGACCCGAACAAGCTTCAAGATATAAAAAGAGATGTCTTACTTTATTAATTAATTTATTTTTTCTTTTTTTAACAAACATTCATATCTTCTTATTTCTTCAAAAGTTTATTTCCTTATAAATACTCAATCTTAATTAAGTTTAATCACTTAATTAATATTACTTCCAAATTCAACATGTTCAAATAATGACCGCTTATTTTATTTTTCTTCAAAACAAAATCTTTTTAACCAAACCCTGGATTAGTAGGAGCTTAATTTTTTCTACAAATATTCACATCTACATGTAAGTTAAAAGTTAATTTCCTTATTACAATTCAATCATAATTATGTTCAAATAATGTGGCCTATTTTTTTTTTCTTTGTAATGCATAACCTTTTTAACCAGTAAACACTACTAGAGTTATTAGAAATATTATGTTATTATATTAACATTATCGTATATGCTCAATATTTATTTGAAATACATAATATTTATTAGTGTAATAAATCTTCATCATTAAAGATAAAGTCCTTTATTTTATTATCTTTATTATTTTATTCTCTTACCTTTATATAGACATATTTGTAATAGCATTATGATCAATACTGCTCAAGCCTGTTTTGCTAGCACCTAGTCTCTACTCCATCTTGCTTGGAGGACATGTCAAGCTCTTTTTTGTGTCTAGATCGATCACTTGGATCATCTCCTTGATCTCAATCTCCGCCATTTGCTTGATACTCATTTGACACTCTGTGGTTTCCAAATCCTCAATCTCTCTTGTACAATTTATTTTCTCTAGGTACTCTTATCTTGGCAACAATCATAGCTTAGCACTATCTTGACATCTTTGCCTTCTCAGCTTGACAACGGCAATGTCAAATCTTTAGTTGTTTGTGCTCGCTAGCATCTTGGTTGGTTATGCTTGATCACTTGGTTCTCTCATCCTATATTTTCTTTCCCTCATCTCAACATTCAGCCCAAAGCCAATCTCTCAGTTCTTGGTTTCCCAAAGAATGACTCGTTTCAATGTAAATTGACTTATAAAATTTGGAAAGTTATTAAATAGCTTTTGATTTAGATCTCTCGGTTCTTCTTGCATTATATAATTGTCAATGCTCCTAGCTGTCACATTGTGAATTTGTATGAGGACGTTAGAGTTCTTAGATTTATTATATTATAATATTAACATTATCATACATGCTTAATGTTTATTAAAAATCTATTTATTAGAGTAATATATCCTTAGTATTGAGGATATTCTCCATAATTGTTTTTTATTTCTCATTTTTTGCCTTTATATAGACATGTCTCGAATAGTATCATAATCAATAAAGTAAAAATGTAGCTCTTTATGATTTCTACCAAACCCTCCATTAGTAGTAGCCTATTTTTTTAACAAATATTTATATCTTCATATTCATTTAACTGTTACTTTCTTATTAGAAGTCAATCTTAATTAAGTCCAATCATTTGATTAATATTTCTTCCAACTTCTACAAGTTCAAATAATAACAGCCTATTTTGTTTTTCTTTCATAGTGCAATAGTTATAGTCATTAGACCCTACATTAGCAGGAGCTTCATGCACTACATCAGCTACCACATGTTTTGTTTAGGTCAACCTATTGGCTACTATTAGAACATGTTAGTTTTCATTTTCATTCGATAGGTGAAATTCTGCCAAATCCAGGTTGCAAAGAAATGAAATTTTGTATGTATACACGATTTTGTCTCTGTTTCACGGTCCTTGGTTGTGCGAAGAAGAAATAGAAAAATTATGTTCTGCTTCTCTATTCTCTGATTCTCTGAAAAACCCCTCCTGCATCTGCCACCTCCCAACACCACATATCTCCTTACGCCTATCGATCTATACTACGCACAACCACCTTGACTCATCCATTGTACGTAACCAAATGATCAATCTTGACTTGCACCTCCATCACTTTCTTAAGGTCAGTTCAAAGTCAATTTTTGCCTATTCATAGATAACCTATCGGCATACAAAAATAACACACAAATTTAGTTCCATCTGTCCAACTCATCTGATCAATCCCCACAACTCACACTACCACCAATCTTGATCTCAACCATAACAAAGGTAGCACACCTGCTAACAACATTTATATTCAGAACCTATAACTCTTCTGTCTTTTCTTGTCCCATTTAGCTAAATTTCGCTTTAGCTCCGTGCTATTATTTTTTCTTAAACTAAGAGTGATCATAACCATAGTATAAAACGCATAAAAAAAGCATATTCTAGTAGAAAGGAACTTCATTAGCTTACTTGGAAAGTGTATGCTTAATATTCTTTTATTTTATCCACCTTTTTTTGCAGAAAACAAGTACAGTTCTCTATTTTTCCAGTGGAATTACAAAACCAAACACCAAGAATTATAAGAACGTTTTCAATTCTTTTGAGAAGATATACTTTTATATTCTAATTCCTCTATAGTATTTTACTGGTTCTACATTGCAAATAATAAAGATACATGGATAAAAGTTTATCATTTTCTAATATATTGATCTTCATGCTCAACACAACCAAAGATAAGGGAGAGACAACAATAGACCAAAACAAAGACAATATAAGAAGTACACGAAATAATGCCAATGCAGCCTTATAGAGGAATACTTGCTAAAATTTGTGAACCAGTAACGTACCGTGTGTACAGGTGTCCAACGTTCACTTGCAAGCTCATAACCATTAGGATCATCCCCAGGTGCATGAAGAATTGATATACAAACACGGCCATCAGGGTAAACTGAATGCATCTATTGTTAGCATTCTTTGTTAAAGGGAATTTTTTCTCAAGCTAAAACAAAGGTGCAGAAAACTAACCATTTGGATGCCACATCTCTGATGTAAACCTTACTGTTGGAGGACTATTAGGATAATTGGGTGGGAAACTCATAATTGCATTGAAATAACCACCATCACTGTGATAACAAAAAATCTAATAGATAGAAAGGATGCCGGTACCAATAACATATTCTACATAATTCAAGTAAAGCCTTTATCATTGAAAATTGCAAAAACTTAATAATAATATGGTAAATAGCTAAAAAATGCTTCATAATATAAAGGCAATTAAAAGTTCTAGAACAGTAATAAATGCCAACACTATTTGATGGTCGCAGTGTCCATTGAAGCAACTTATTTGCTTAAATTATTTGCCATATCCTCAAATAAAAATTTTAAATGAACTTCAGAAGATAGTTGGTCTTATATATGCTTTTTAATCAGCCCATTTTTTAGCTTTATCCAAGTTCCTTAAATCATTTCCCTTGAATCACTTATATTGCAGATTATTGATTCGGTGTACATTATTTAATCTCATTGTTTATTCCTTATGCTTCATTGATCCAAAATTGCCTTGGATAGGATTAGTACCCAAATCCTCCCAAGTGGATTAAATAGTCTTTGGGCGTCTAGTGTCTAAAGGTATGTCACCTACTTACACTACATGATTGAGTGATGTGTTCTTTCCTACCTAAAACTACCAAAAGCAATATAATGACATCACACAAGGCCTCCCAATATTTCTAGGGTGTCCTACCAAGCAAATCTACTAATGTAATGAAAAGCCCAATATGACAGATAAACAAACACCTAATAGATGTTTATCTGGTACGCAAATTGAAAGAATGTTACCATAAAAAAATAATGAGGCTAATGGTTATCTGAGGAACATTCTCTGACTTTTTCTTTGGTCGTGAGCTTGGCTATTTCCCTTGTGTATGCTTGCTGTTTTTACCACTGAACTTGCTCTGTATTCTGCCAACAGTGAAAATATTCACCGTTAGCAAAATAAAGAAGAATAGCAGCAACTTTAGGTGTGGCTCCGTTCACTGGAAGGTTGCAGTTGGGGACTGCAAATGCAAGATGGCTAATTACCTACTCTGGCTGATCTCTGGATTCTCTATTTCTCCTAGAACTAGATGCTGAAATGCATAGAAGAGAGAGGGAATTAGGATCAAGAGAAATAGCTTTACTTTCAATTCCTAACTAGTTTTTGTTGATTTTGATCAAACTTTATTTATAGAGATTCATAGAAAAGTTCAAAAACGTTCAAAATTCAAAGTAATCTTGAAAATAAGAACTAACTCCTCAAAAGTAGCTGATAAATAGCTATAAGTCAGAAGATTAGCATAAAAATAGGAGGCTAGCCTACAAAACAAACAATAAATTTTAAATCCTTAAAATCCTTCTTAGGTACTCGGTCTTTGCATTAGCATGAGGTAAGTTTTTAGTTGTTATTTTGTTGCCAGACACAGAATTCTTGAAATTTGATCAATTTCATCAAGGAACTCTTGTGAATCTTGTCTAAAATCTGAGATTGTTGTTGACCTACGGATCAAACCCAAAAGAGCAAAGATGAGAGGAGAAGCAAAGTGAAAATTCTTGTACAAACCTCATACCCGACGGATCCACGAAATCTGCCGAGACTCTGCCGCAAATCGCGTCGATTGGGATATATTACTGAGCTTCATCTTTCTCTTCTTGTTCTTCTTTTCCTAGCTGGCAAAAGGAGAACTAAGGTGACTCCTTATGGAGCTGAACTTGCTTAAGACTTTTTCCTCTTCATTTTATTTTGTTTTAAGGGCTACTAGTGATGCTCCCAGGACTGTTGAAGATGCTTACGTCGCTACTAGTGGTGATGTGACCATGCACTGACATGCACAATTCCACAATGCTTCAGAAAATCCTTATAGAGACGTCATTTTTAAATTCTTGAAATCATTGGCATACTCTCATGCTGACTGCTCGTTTCTCTGCCTTAGTAGCTCTACACAGATCCACTACTCCACCTTATGGACGATGGGATAAAGCTAGGCCTTCAATTATCTCTTTAATTATTCTCATACTATTTGAGGCGGGTCATAGTTTAAGGATTTTGATTTCCATCATATAAGTGCGGGGGACGACATTTTCAATTGGTTAAATAAATTTTATTGAGCGAAAGTGCAAATGTAAAAGGAAAAATTGATATGTAGGACTCCCAACTAATTTTTTATCTTATCAGCATCTTCTGTATCATCCAAAATAAATAACTCTAATTGGCATCCGCTTTGCAAGAAGGTAGATGTTTAACTAGTAGTTGGTTTTCTTCATCTACAGGTGATTCTTTCCATGATTCATTAATGACCTCAAGAATCTGAAGTTCTTACTGCGACTTTTGAAGTGATCCCTTTTTGTGCTTATAAGACACTGATGTTTGCAAATGAGTCATTTGGTCCATATTTTCTAATACCCTTGCAATTCTTGCAAGTCTAACATCATTCTCATTTGGTGTATTGCTAGCTCCTTGCATAGCGTATAGTTCCTCTATCCTTGAGGCGTCTTAGTTATTAAGGGTTGTCCAAGTTTTTTTTTTTTTGCATCCATGTCACTCCAGCGTTTTAGGCTAAGGGTTGTGCATTGGTGCCAAACATGAGCAAAAGCTATCTCGGATAGGATAGGATTGGCGTCCAAAAAATTTCAAATGGATCAGGAGTCTTTGGGTGTTTAGTATAGTGTATAAGGGTGTGTTTCCTGCTTAAAATATAGGGTTGAAGGATGTATCATTCCCAACTTAAAACTGCCGAATGTAACAAAATAAATAGCACAAAATTTCTCAATATTTCGAGGGTATCTTATCAAGTTGCTAAAATGAAATGGAAAGGCTACATATGATACATTAGTAAAAACAAAGAATAGATGTTAATCTAGTAAGTAAATTGAAAGGATGTTACCGCAATAGCATAACGAGGCTAATTAGTTTTCTTATGAACATTCTTCATCAGCTTTCTCCTCCTTTTGGCATGCTTTTCTATTCCCCTTATTCATGCTTGTTATTTTTACCTCAAAACTTCCCTAGTATTCTGCCAATAGTGAAAATATTCACAGTTGGATGGAACGACCAAGAACAACAACGGGTATGATCCCAATCTACTCCTTAAAAGGTTCAAAGTCCCAAATTAAGAGAGTTGAAGAGGATTAGAAGAGTTTAAAATTTTTTGTGAAGGTTCCCTAAAATTCTTTCAATCAATTGAAGGCATTTTGAGTGTATGTTGTTTCATACTGCAGATGAAACCCTCTTTCCGTTTTCACCTTTCTTGCTGTGAACAGCAAGTTCCTTCTCAGTTTGCTAGCTTTCCTCCACAAGAAAGCAGCTACCTTGTGTTAGGCCGGTTCACCCTGAACCGGCCTAGCCGGCTTGGGCCGGCTCAGTTTTATTACAGTAGGCGGAAACCATCCGCCTCCCTTGGCGTTGCCCGCCCATAGTGAGGGCCCCACTTATACAATTGAATTCAAATTAAAAAGGAGGGGCGACTAGGGCTTGGGAGGGAAATTAGATTAGGAAAGCTTTTGTATTAAAGAGCATGAGAGGATTAGGGAGGGATTATGTTTTGATTGATTGGAATTAGAGTTTCTTGGCGACTTGGGCCCTAGGCTTCTTGTCTAGAGATTGGGAGAGAACGATCCTCCTCTCAAATTGAAGAGCAAGTGTATCTTTGCTTCGTTCTTATTTCGCTTTGCTTTCTATAAGATTATCTATCGTTTGATTGTTCTTCCACATATTTTCTTCATTTTTTCTCGCTGTTTTACTGATTATTGTTAGGTTTGCTTGCGAACTCGAGTATTTCCCATTAGGGTTACTTGCGAACTCAAGCATTTCCTATCACCTTGTTGTTTCTTAACTCTAGTCCAGTGTAAACAGCCAACAAAAAATAATTTTTGGTGTGGGAGAGCAAGATATCCTTAACTGTTTTGAATCCGAATTGCTAAGGACAAAGAAACAGAATTTTTTTTCCCTGTTGTGTGTTTGGATAACAGCTGTTTGGGGTAGTAAAGGCCACAACATAAGCTAGATGGCGCTGGTGGCTTGGTCTTTGGTTGCCCGTTGCTGGACTGCAAAAGAGGGCGAGAGATTTTTGGAGAATTGGAATTACTATTAATTACAGGAAATGGCATATTTGTAGCTAAAAATGATAATAAATTAATTTGAATTTAACATTATATTCTCCTAAACTAACTCCATAAACTAAGAAGTAACGTTGTCCCTAACTCAATAGTTTAGGCATAATTTTAAACACTATTAATTAAGTCTCAAAAGAAGGAACTTTAAATTTAAATTCACAATACAAACTTATCCAAAATAAGTTCAATTTTCAAAAGTTATCATTATCTTGTTGTTCTTATTTCTATCCAATGATCTTGATTGTCCTACCTCTTGATCTTGATCAATAGGTATCCAATCAGCGATCCATATTCGCTCATGTATACATACTTCCAAGCTCAACAGTGTGATCTGAAAATCACACCACTGGTGATCTCCACCAAGAGATTGGACTGTCTAAACTTCAACGAATACAATAACTTTGATATTTCCGCTATATAATGCTTAAATTATGAGGGTAACTTCTCTTTAAAGATTTCTTCAAAGTGAATAGTGATACAAACTCATCAAAACAAGTTCAAAATTAAAAAAATCATCATTATCTCGTTGTTCTTATTGCCATCCAATGGATTTCCTACATCCTAATCTTAATCATCATGCATCTAATCAACGATGCATGTTCACTCATGGATACATATTTTCAATCTCTAAGGTGTGACTTGAAAATCACACCACTGGTGATCTCCATCAAGATATCGGACTACCAAAACTTTAATGAACACCTCCTTGATCTTTCCACTATATAATGCCTAAATTATGAGAGAAGCTTCTTTTTAAAGACATCTTTCAAGCAAATAGTTGCATTGACCATCCCTTTCATTATTTGATACCTATATCAATGTCATTATTTAAAATTGTACAATAAGAGACACATCTCAACACAATTTAAAAAAGAAACACTATGAGGCATATGCCTCACCTTTTGGCAATGAGGCATATGCCTTGGTGAAGCCAAAACACATATATACACAATTTGTAAGAGTAAAAAACCTCTAA